CCCCCCGCCCCCGCCGCAACGCCGGCCGGCCCCGAGCCTCGGGCGGCTCTTCTGAGAAGCTGGGCCCCAGCGAGGCTGGTGGGGGGCAGATAACATCTCCCCTCGCCTAGAAACTTTGCAGGATGTACTAGGAAGGGCGGCGGGTGGGCAGAGATAGAGGTCCGCTTCCCGGCGTTATCGCCTCCCCGGCTGCAAACAAGATCCGCTGCGCTCTGCATCGCCCCGCTCGCTTCCTCCCAGCCCCTCGGGGTTTTTTGTTGTTTTTTTGTTGGGTTTTTTTTTTTAATTTTTCCTCCCCCCGACAAATGCAATCACTTTTCCTCTCCTCCCAGCAGCCGGGCTGCTGCCGCTGGGCGGCTGGAGTTTCGGGGAGGCGGCGGTGCCCGTGCCGGCGCGGCAGGATCCGGGTGGGTTGGCCGATGTTTCCTGCCTGAGCGGAGTGCACGGCCCCGATAAGTGCCGCGGGCGAGCACGAGGTTCGGCGGTAAGCAGCGCGGTGCAGCTGGGCCAGCCATGGGGAACGCTGCTGCCGGGCTCAGTCGGGCACGCCAGGGTGGCTGCACGCTGGCCGTGGGTGCTGTCAGATTGGTCTCGCAGCAAAATCTGCTTGGGGCAGAGATACGGTGTGGTTTGCTGGAGCCCAACGGCCCCTCAGTCCCGCAGGCAGCGGAGCATCCCCCCAGGGACATCCCATATCCCCCCAGGCCGGTGGGGCTGAGTGGATCTTGCAGGCGAGGCAGGTCCGTCCCTGGATTTCTGCAGCTTTTCATATTGTTTCCTCCCATCCCGCCCCCACTCCAGTTTTATCAGCTCCATTGAAATAGGTCTCTGGAGGGAAACCCATCGGCGCTGTGAAGCCTTGGCAGCAGGAGAGTGGATGTGGCCTGGCCGGGCATCCCTGTGGGGCAGCGGGCAGCTGCAGGCAGCTGTGCTGGCAGGAAGCCGCGCAGACACCCCCCTCTGGGACCTGCCTGCACCCCACCTCGCAGGTGGGGAAACTGAGGCACGGCCCTGCCAGGTGGGGATGGGGATGCGAGGCGCTGCGGTGGGGCTGGGTGCTCGGCGTCTTGCATGGCCGCTGCCTGTGGCGGGTGGTGAGCCGTAGCGGTTGCTCGTGTGGCTGTGCCGCCCACCGGGGAGCCAGCCGCCCCCTGTCCCCGCACTCTGCCCTGGTGAATGAAGTGGCTTTGACCGGGGGCCAAGCTAACCACAGTGCGCCCGGGGCCGCTTGCCCTGCGGGTACGCATCCGGAGCGGCATGCAGCCGTGCTGCCCGGGGGCTGCTGGGGTGGGGGGGTGGCGTTGGGGCGTCAGGGCTGCCCTGACGCCACCGGTGTGCTCTGTCTTGCAGCGCGGCCACCTCGTTGGAGCCACGGCAATGAATGGGCACGCTCTGCCGGCCGGCATGCCAGCGCATCCCCGGGGCTGGCATGAGTTCTGTGAGCTGCACGCCATCAGCACTGCCAAGGAGCTGGCGCAGCACTACCTGCGCTTTGCCACCGAGCACCCGCACCATGACCTCCTGGCCGCTGAGAACTTCTCGGTGCAGTTCACCGACCTCTTCCAGCAGTACTTCTGCCATGAGGTGAAGGAGGGCTTCGCCATGAACCAGCTCCGCATTCTGCCTGCCGGCCCGGTGCGGGATTACCGGGAGACGCACCGGCGGCACACGGACGCCTCCCTGTGCACAGTGGCTGCCAAAGCTGAGGGGGAGCTGGGCACCCGCCCCGAGCAGCCTGGCCGAGCCCCCGAGACCACCCCGATGGGGCTGCGCAAGTCCTGGAGTTCAGAGGAGCTGGCAGGGCCAGCGCGGCGGCCCTTCTCGCTCAGCCAGCTGCGCCGGAGCTGGCGCAGCCTCTTCCGACGCCGTTCCTCGGATGTCCTCCCTGGGGATGGGGATGGGGAGGCGGCGGCAGAGGTGGCTTTCAAGCCGGGACTGGGCAAGCGCATCCTGCCGTGGGGGCTGTCGCGGGAGCAGCCCCCCGAGGTGCGCAAGGAGGGGCTTCTCAAGTACGGGCTGCTGGACGAGACCTCCTTGGACAGCGGGACGCGCTGGCAGCGCTGCCGCCTGGTGCTGCGGCGAGCAGGGACGCCTGACGGCGAGGAGTACGTGCTGGAGCTCTTCGACCCGCCCAAGGTAAGGACCCGGCTCTTGCCCGTTTCGGCCAGTCGATGCTGCGGGTCGAACCCTTGGCAGCGGGTTGGGGATGATGCCAGGGTGCTGGCATGTCCCATGGGGAGGAGCAGAGCCTGCACCCTGTATTTGAGACCTCTGAGAAGGAGAGCCACTGCCGCAGGCTTGCGCTCAGGGCTGCATTCAGAGGGCAAAAGATGCCACGACCATGTGCCAAGGGCGATGTGAGCACTCATTATTGCAGTTGGTCGAGATGCAATTGCATTTCTCCTTGCTGGGACCCCAAAACTGGCTTTTCCAGCTAGGAGCAGAGCACCTGCTTTGCTCTCAAATGCAGAGCTGAGGATGGGGGCTCGTGGCCTCCGCACCACTTGTTCCCAGCCCCATAGACCCATCCCAGCAAGGCAGGGGGCTAGTGAACCCCAAATTCACCCCATCCCTGTTGTGCTGTGGCTTCAGCAGCCAGGGCATCTGCTCGTGTGGGCAGGCTAGGAAAGGAAGGGGAAAATAGAAGTTAGGCTCTGTGCCTTCCTCTGCTCCCTGTGGGACCTGTAAGGGACTTTAATTTTATTTTTGTAAGTACTTTTGTGGCTAGAAATTCAGATCTCGGCTACCCCTGGGAGTTCCCGTGGTGCTTAGATGCTGGCTGGAGCGGAGATGATGCAGGATGTGAGTGAACAGGGAACGATGCGGGGGGAGCCGTGGTGTTTAATCTTTAAAAAGATAGTTCCTCCACATGGAGGTCTTACGCAGGCCTGATGGGCTGTGTTTTCTTTCTTTTTCCCTTTTTTTTTTTTTTTTTTGTGCTTGTTTAACTTTGATGACTAACTTGTGCTTCTTTGTTTTCTCCTTTTTTTTTTTTTTTTTAGTTGTGCTTGTTTAACTTTGACTAACTTGTGCTTTGGAAAGAGGAAGCCTCGGGTAGAGCCGGAGCCTTGTCCCTGCCTTTGGGCTATGTTTGCTGCTCACCGCAGCACTGGGCCAGGGAGCAGCCGGCTAAATTCCTGCTATTTCTGTCAAACAACCCCAATATTAAATATTTTTAAAAAAACAAACAAACAAAACCACCAACACCAAAATTGTAAAATGTGAAAGTAAAAGCTGGTTTTGCTCTGTTGTGTCAGGGGTTGCAGTTGTTTGTCCCTGTGGGAGCATGTGTCCCCGTCCCAGGGCACGGGGAGGTCTGGCTCCGAACAGCAACACTTTGGGGCTCTTTGAGGGTGCTTTCAGCAGCCGGGCAGCACTGCTGGGTGCCGGCGTGGTCCGGACCCCAGCTCACCCAGACGGCACTGGGCATGTCGGACCCCGCTGCAGGGAACGGCCTGGCCGCTGGGGAGGAGGTGTTGGGCTGGTGCTATTTCAGACGCTGCTGCCAAATTTGCTGCTGGCTTTACTGCTCCTCATCCTTGGTGGCTGTTGCCCAGACCTTTGGGGCTTTGCAAGAGCCAAAAATAAAAGCGAAGCAAGGGGATGCCCTCCCGGGGGTGGCTGTGCTCCCCAGTGGGGGGGGACTTTGGCACTTGGGGCTGAGCACGCCCCTCCTCGGGCACCCACCCGTGCCCCCTGCACCCTGGGCACCAAGCCTGCGCTTTTTTTTTTTTTTTTCTTTTTCCCCCATTATGGCTGCAATGGATTTGGCTGCCTCCAC